GCACGAGCTCAGTGCTCGGCACCATCCTCGGTCTGTCCCAGTGTTCCCCATCGCAGCTGTGGCTGTCACATCCCTCCATCACCGCAGCAAGTGTCTTTGTTTTGCAGATTAATCGGAGCACCACCACGAGCATAACCGCCGCCGCCTCCGCTAGTCCACTGTCACCAGCCGTTTCGCATCCCGCGATTCCGATCCGAAACAAGTTCGGATTTGGAAGATATCTGCAAATTAGGTTAGAATATCATCCAGTATCATTTTAAATATTTAAATTCTTGATTTGGATGATATGTTATTTTTTTGTGAATCTTTAGATATATTTAGGTAATGCATGGCATATATGCAAGATTTAAAAAATACCCCAAGTTAGGAAACTTTTCTAACTTAACAACGCACTGGGACGACTATCCGATCTCAATCATGAGATACGATACTCGACAGCACGGAAAATCTTTATTCTATGCAAAACTATTTGGATACAATAAAAGATTTATTTTTTTTTCTCAACCTTCCATCGATATCCATAACCACATGGATATGATCGTCTGTTTATGTTGTTTCCCTAATTCAAAGATGATAAAACAAATCTTGCGGATTGCGTGGATTGATTTTGACGGTGGTAGTTATCCATTTGTTTGATCTTGTTTCCTTTAAAAGAAAATCCAAAAAAATTAGTTAAAGTTCGAATTATTTTCTTAGAATATAATTGTGCATGTTTAGGATGTGTTTAAATAACCTTGTTTGAATAGAATGGGATAACCTAAATATGCTAGAAAGATAGGATAATTTTCCAACTAAAATTAGGATTTAAAGTAATTTATTTCCTAGTCTAATTTAAACATTATCCTAATCTTAATGGTTTATTTAGGGTAATTCTCAATTTCTAATTTTCATGAAAAATTCCAAAAAGAAGTCACTTTAGAATAGGTTAAATTATCTTTTCTAGAATAGATTGCATGTTAATTTAGGCATTTTTTTAATTCCGAATTTCATTGAAAAACACCAAAAATACCTCATTTGCCTATCATTAGAGTTAGGTCATTTAATCGCATGTCATATAGTTCGCATGCTAGGTTTAATTAATTGCATGTTACACTTTGCACGTCATGGCACGTAGGTTAATTTTCATTTAATCAAGAGAAAACCCCCAAAAAAAATACCTTGAGTGAATTGCTTGTTAATTAGAAATTATATTAGGACTGTTGATATGATTTTCTAGCTAACAATGCATATGCTTATATTGCTTCGAGGTATGTTATTCTCCATATCTAGTAATTTATTTACTGCTTTCATTATTGGGTGTTAATTTGGTGATTTTCGCACCCGTATGATCACCACACATGTTAGGAAGTAATAGAATGATCCAAATTGCCTTCTCAAATGTTTTCATGAAAAGAAAAGGTACCAAAAAGTAGGGCTTGGGAGAGCCCGAGTTAGGCTTAGACTTAATAATCCATTAGTCGAACCCTTAGGTGGTCCACATGCCCGCAGGAGGGTAAGGTCGCGACAAGTGACCTATGATGGATGAGACTATTAGAATGTACACTATAAATAGGTTATGGACTTTATGGTCCCCTCTCCATCCCCTCAATCAATATAGGTACGATTTATCCTTTGGGACCTATAAGAGGAGAAGCAGAGAATGACCTAGTTCTTGGTTCGTACAACTTCATGCATATCGATTGATTCAAAGATGAAAACCGCCTAAAACCAGATATCTAATTTCAATTATAACATAGATACTCCTAAGTTGGGAAAATTACATAAAAGTCCAAAACCCATTGCAATTGTGCCAATTCAATCCTAAACATTTTTTTATGCCAATTGAGTTATAAATCTTTTGTATTTGTGCCAATTCAATCCATATGGCCAATTTTGGCCGGCCAGCGCTGAAGTGGCATGACCGACCCTGAAGTGGATAGTTTTTAATAACATTTTTATTTTTCAAATTGTTTAAATTATTTTTTCCTTTTCTTTCTCTTTTTTTTTTTCCTTCCTTCTTCCTTTGGCCAATAGCTGGACCAAGAAGATTGGCTAGAGGCGACCTTGCCATCACTGAGCGAGGTGAGCCCTTGCCAGATTCGGTGAGGGCCACTGGCGAGTCTCATCCTCGCAAGATTTAGCGGGGGCTCGTCTTGCCAGTGCTTGGGTGAGCTCACACTCACCTAGCAACGGTGAGGTCGAGCCTCGCTAGGGGTGGGCTTGGTCGACCTCGCCTAGCCACTGATGAGGGCACCTATGGCCAGTTGCCTCAGTCTAGCGACTAGCCAAAGGAAGAAGGAAGGAAAAAAAAGGAAAGAGAAAGAAAAGAAAAAAAAGGAAAAACAAAAAATGATTAAAAAATTCAAAAAAACATCAAAATATTATTAAAAATTATCTATATTAGCGCCGACTATACCATGTCAGCGCCAATCAAGTAAAATTGATCGGATGGACTGAATTGGCACAAATACAAACTGTTTAGAACTCAATTGTCACAAAAAAAAGGGTTTAGCACTAAATTGACACAATTGCAATACGTCTAGGACTTTTTTGGTAATTCTCCCGCTTGCCCTCCTAAGTTCTACATATATTCTACTTTGTTTTTTAAACTTTATCATAATATAGGAGCAAAACGATTGGTTTTCTTTATAGCTCTTATTGACTTCTGGCCATTGCAGCATCTAATACAGTGACGAAGCCTCATCATGTGAGTCTTTTTCCCAGCGAGTAATATAATTCGTAGTGTTATTGTACAACCTAGGGTTTTCATACTTCCCACTTTAAAAAGGGAAAGCATTAGGAAATATGAGCCACGAATTTAAAAGTAGCTCTTTTTTTTTCTATCTTTTGGAGACTCTGCATTTATCTTTTTAACTGAAAGTTGAAAAGAGGGCCTAGGAAATTCTTGCCCGACCTTGATCCGTGTGGATTGAGCAGAGTCACTGGAGTGGTTTAGGAGAGTATGTCCATTATTGATCACGAGATTGACGTGACGTAATTGATCTTTTGTACAATATTCTTAAGATATTTTTTTTTACTAAGGCAAAACACAAAATCTTATGGCTAAACTTTCAGAAAAAAAAAAAAGAGCTGCCAGCTACTTATATTTAATAAAGAGTAGATACATCTAATGATATAATAGGAAAAGTAAGGTATGTTTCACTCTTTGATATTTTCATAATTACCACTGATAAAAAAAATATAAAGATCGAACTAACTATTGTGCTCATTTCATTAATTGTTACTCAATTCACATGTTTTATAATTACTGGCTACATCCACTTTATTAAATAATCATCAAGTTCCTCCCAAATTGGGGTTAATTAAAAAAAAAAGCACCAACTTTAGGTCGAGGGACAATTCTGGGCCGACCATTTTTTTGTCCAGTAAAAAAGCACCAACTTTAGGTCGAATGACAATTCTGGCTCCAACTTTTTTTTGTCTCATTAAATATCACCAACTTTCACCCTGATCCCAAATCTAGCCCCTCGTTGACTTTCTGTCTAAAGTCACCCTTGTTTGAGAAAAAAAAGTTATGGTGGTGAGCTTGGCGAATCTCATTCATGGTATCTGTCGACGGGCAGTGGTCTACAGCTTCAGATTACAACAAAACAACGAAGTCTGGCCAGAGAGAAGTGAAGGAAACAAACAATTTCACCATTATTCTTCAAGTTGTAGCCTAGAGAATAAGACAATGAATAGTACTTTAAATACAGTCAACAAGCCACGTGAATTTATTGCTAAGGTGGAATAGTCAAGTTGGATAATCAATAGTTCTAAGTCAATGGGAGCCAGATTTGATATTTAAGTGAAAGTTGGTGCTTTTTTAGTAGACAAAAAAAAGTTGGGGCCAGAATTGTCACTCGACCTAAAATTGATGCTTTTTACGGGACAAAAAAAATTTTGGACCATAATTGTCTATCGACCTAAAGTTAGTGCTTTTTTTTGTAAAATTAGGCCCCCAAATTGATTACTTTTTTTTTACTTTTTTTGTACACAAACACTCAGCATCATGCTGGCGCTTTGGACGTGCTTTAACTCTAGTATCTACACATTTAAAAAGGCAACAGAGATGAGAAAAGGGTTGAGCACACTGTTACATGCTTCTCGGCAAAGGAGCTTCTCGGCGAAGGAGTCTTGAAACTTGTCAAGAGGGGAGACTTTATTGGCTCCTTTTACATGCTACAAAACCAAACTACTTTTCTGCTCTCCACGTGTCTCCGAGTTCACCGTTCAACTCTTGCAAATGCACTTCACTCAGCCCCGTATACTTACATCTCCAGCTGGGTGTTGCTGATCAACAAGATCTCTCTCTCTCTCTCTCTCTCTCTCTCTCTCTCTCTCTCTCTGAGGTTAATTAAATGCAGTTTGTTGCGGAAGTTTCATAAATCGCTAAGCAAGAACAGTACAGTCACTTCAACAAATACTCCGGTGAGCAACATAGTCGAACTTTACGTGGTATGTATGCAAAAGATATATCGATTCTAACATCCGTCTCGGGCCTTGGGCAAGAATAGCAGTAATGGGTTTTTTAGAGGACGAACTCAAGAACTCCGTGCATGAGCAATCGCAAAATTTAGACCCTTGGATTTTACGGCCACACATGAGACCCACTTAACCGATGGATTGAGATTTTGCAGGTGAGCGCATGCATCCCACGCAATCATAACATTTGCTTCGTTAGTAAGTCACCATGCATTTTAGAGAATTCCAATTAATGGCCAAAAGGAAGAAAATTTGATGCAGAGCGTACATTTTCAAATATGTCAATTTTTTTCATTTTATTTCCTCATCTTCTTATCTTAGAAATTACGTGAGGATATTAGATGATTTCGAGTGGTTATCCATTTTTCAATTTCGAGTTGTTATCCATTTATATATTTAAGATTTAGTATGTTGGTTTTTCTTATTAATTTATATATTTGTTATTTCAAACTTAGAATTCCATTAGACTGTCTTTTTTTCTTTTAATTTACTTGTCTAATAATTTCAAATGCATAGCTGTTTGTCTGAAATTCTAGATTATTGCAGGTGAGAAAAAGAATGACGAATAAGTTGGACAAGATCAGCCAGTTACCAAGGGACATAACGGACCAAATTCTGTCGCGCTTGCCGATCAAGGAGGCAGTGAGGACTAGTATTTTGTCGAGAAAGTGGAGGTACAAATGGTCCTCTGTTCCACAACTTGTGTTTGATGACCGATGTACCAATTGTAGAGGAGTTCCTTCTCTTCTCCCATCTCTGCATGAAAACTTGGTGAAGATAATTGACAAGGTTCTCTTGCTTCATACTGGCCCAATACAAAAGTTCAAGCTCTCTCACAAAGAATTTTGCGCCCCGAGTGACATAGACCATTGGATTGTTCATCTATCCAGAGTGTCCATCAAAGAAATCATACTCGACATCTGGAAAGGGCAGTATTACAAAATTCCCACCTCCTTATTCAATTGCCAAGAGTTGATTCATATGGAACTGTATAGATGTTTGGTGAAAATCCCGTCGACGTTTGAAGGATTAATGAAGTTGGAAAGTTTGGATCTTCAGTACGTTGAGCTGTCTCAGGACGGGCTTGAGGCTCTGATTTCTCTTTGCCCCCTACTAAAATGTTTGAAGTTGAGGAACTTAGAGGGGATTACGCGAGTGAACATCAAAGCTCGCAACCTCAAGTTGCTTGATCTTAGAGGAGCATTTCAGGATGTTGCCTTCGGTTTTATGAAACGTTTAAAGTCAGTCACGATAGGTTTCTCTGATGATATTGCTAACAAACGTGGACCCAACCATGCCAACTCGAGCAATCTACACAAACTCTTTCGACATTTGCCCAAAATTCAGAGTCTCAAGTTTGAAAATTACTCACTCAAGGTATATATTAAGCGCATAAATTCTGAAATTTGTAAGGACTTTGTTAACTATTAATTTTGGGATGAGAATGTGTTGGCTGTATCTTCAATTGTTCGTATCTACTGATCCTTGATTTTGGCTGATTTGTGCAGTATTTGGCTGCTGGAAATGTTCCACAGACACTGCCTAATGAACCCGTTCATTTGAATTACCTCTTCACATGCATAGACTTCAATAGTGTAGAGGAGATTTTGACTGTTCTCTGCCTGATTAGAAGCTCTCCTCAGTTGAAACAAATAGATTTTCAAGTGAGTATGATCATTGAGATTATTGTCTAGCGGACTAACCTAGTGTTTCTTTGAAACTATTTTCACAGATATAATTTAGTTATTTGTGTGATTTCTCCATATTATTTTTATTTTTTATTTTTTGTCAGATCTCCACATTTTTTATTAGTTGGTAAAAATTTAGAAGCAGAACCAAACTTAAAGTACAATGATCCATCACTGTAGTGTACATGGTTTTTGCTAAATAAGTTGTATGCTATAACATATCATAAATGAAATAAATTGACGAATCCTTTCCTATTAAGCAAAATATTTCATCTTTTAAAGAAAGATAAATGGGTATCAAAAGAGTGTTACTTCCTTTGTAACAAGTTAAAGAATATATGTTAGGGAAATTTCATTTGACTTGATTTTCGGTGATCATGATGTTACCTTGATACTTTTAATCATTGGTTTGAGGAAAAAGAGAGCTAATCTGTACTTCATAGAGATTTAATTATGCATTCTCAAAATAAATAACAGTATAATAATCCGTTTCAGCAAATAAAAAAAAAGATATTGTAGCACAGGGATCATAATAAAGGAAATAGACAATCAAGCTCTCCGTCTCTCTTGATAAAATGAATAGATTAAGCGCTCTCTCTATCTACACATCTTTGTGTTAAAATTGCTCTTTGATCGTAAAAAACACAGAATCGTGCCAAGGATCAACAGACTACAAGGATTGGGACAATGGCCGGCTTTTGGGAAGACCACCACGCGTGTTGCCTAGAACAAGTACAAGTTGTATCAATGGTTGGGATTTCTGGCAGTGAGCGAGAGCTGGAATTGATGAAGTTTATGCTTACTAGCACGTCGAACCTACAAAAGATGATGATTCGGCCTAATTCCACGAGTGGAGAAGGCAAGTTGCTCAGGGAATTGCTGCGGTCTCGGCGAGCCTCAGCGCAAGCAGAGGTGATCTTTCTCTGATCCTGTTGATCCGGAAGCCAGCCCTCGTTAAAATGAATCACACGTAGGAGTAACAGTCACCGCAATTGTTTTGCTATGTTGTCTGGAACTTGAATATACTGTTAGATAGTTTTTTGTATTACTTAGAAAAATGAAAATCCTCTTCGTTCATCTTGCGTTAGCCTCTCGTGAGGAGATTCTAATTCCATATATAGTCAAATTTGGAAGAAACTGGTTGCTTTTCTTATGGCCTTGATTAGCCTTTGCCTTTGATTGTATGAGTCTTCACACTGAGTACTGTAATTCGAAGGTTTTCTTCTGGGTTGGGTCAGAATATATTAATGTACTACATCTTTCACATTCTCAAATTCACGAAAGGTAATTTGAAAGAAAGATGAGCCACGAAGAGTAGTTTTTTTGTGTGGGTAATTTGAAGACTTCTCAGCATTTGTTTTTGAGAAATGCGAAGAAGACGATGCTGTGACCTTATGGAAAGTGATGGCCTACTCTTGGCCCTAAAGTCATTCCCTAGGAACAGAATGACTTGTTCATCAGGTTTCTATGGATGTGACCTTTAAAACAGGAAAAGTACTAAAAAACTCTTAAACCTATTGTGTTTATATGAATTCAGTCCTAAATTTTTTAATTGGACCAATTTAGTCCTAAATCTTTTTGCATTGATACTAATTCAGTCCATCCGATCAATTTAAGCCAAAAATCGCTGACGTGGACACCGGCTGTTCTACATGGCACGACCAGTGCTGACATTGATAAATTTTATAATTTTTTTCAGATTTTTTTAATGTTTTTTTTCTTTTTTTCTCTTTTCTTTTCTTTTTCTACACACTGTTGGCTGGTGAGGTCATTGGCTGACCATCGCCGGCCACGAGCGAGGGCCCAACACCCTCTGTGATATCCTGAAAATTCGATCCAATTTGGTGATATATGGAATGTTGATTTCATCGATACTCTATTAGTTAATTTTCGCCCCTGACTTGATCACTCAGAGAATACTAACCAAAGGGGAAAGGCTACTGAGGATTTATTCCTAAAAGCCGCCGGTTAGTTTGAGATGTACTATAGCTGTAATTGATTGGTTTCAGTCACGAATTATGATACGATTTTGAGTATCGAATGTTCAAGGATTTCACAACCGAACCATAGGACGTCGCCTCACAATTCTAGGAGTTAGCCATTGAAATTACAACTTCGGATAAGGATCAAAGAATCGGGAATTTGACGCGAGAAACGGAAATGAGCCGAGCAAGATCCCATTGGGCCTCATGCCCAAGGGGGCCGGCCAACAAGGCCCAATAAGGATAAGTCAACCCGTAATCGGTACATGGGCCAAGGACAAAGTGGTAATTTTGGGGGACAAAGTTGGGAAATTACAAAAATGCCATAGTGGGACAAGTGTCAAATAAAGAAGATTTATTGGAAGATTTTTTTGGGATAATCATTTGACTCTCTCTCTCCTCTCTCTCTCCCCCACTTTGGCTGCACCACCACCGATTCCCCACCAACCCATTATTTTCTTCTTCTTCTTCTTCGTTCTCTTCTCCTTCTTGGCTTCTCCATTCCAAGCCACCGCCACCAGCCACTGTTCCACGCCTAGAATAGCCCCCGAGCCACCACCGAACAGCCACTAGCAGCCGCCCCTCCGTTGCACCTGTCTGCCACCGTCCACCACTCGCCGCACCAAGCCGAGGGCATCGCGGACAGCTCGTGTCGTTGCCGTCATCCTAGCGTCGTCGCCATCGTTAGACGAGAAAGTTAACTCCTAATCCCTTGTTTAGGGTGTTAAACTTGCTTAGGGTAGTTTAGATTTAGTTAACGGTGATTAGTGGTTATTTAAGTGCGATTAGGGGATAAGTTATCGGTGGATTATTGGTTAACCTTTGGTGATATGTTATCATTGGATGATAAGTTATCAATGGAAATGGCGATAGGTTATCGATGAATGGATGATGAGTTATTGGTGAATTGGCGATAGGTTATCGGTAATTGATTGATAAGTCATTATTATTTGGGTGATAGGCTATCCCTATCGGTTGTTGGGCGATAAGTTATCGCTATTTTGATAATAAGTTATCAAATTATTTTATAATTTATATTTTCTTAATTAAATAAATTAATTTTCGGAATCTAATATTAATATTTTATTATTAAATTAATTAATTTCCCAAAATTAAATATTAATATTTTCGAATAATTCTTTTTTTTATATACAGAATTGTGATTGTTTTATGCTTAAATTGTGATGCTAATGTTGGAAATCGCCGTATAAATTAGCTTGTTTAGCTCAATGATTTGAACGATTATTTTCAAGGAAAGATTATGAACTTTTTGAAATAGATTATTTTATCGCTATGTTTAAGAAATGAATTCGATGCTTTGGGAAGGAAAGCATGTTTGGAAATGATGCTTTTACAAAGTCGAGCGATTATTTGCATATGTGATCATGTGAAATTGTGGTGTGGCATTGTTGTGAGCACGATCCATGTTTGGATTGGCTAATTGAAAAGATAAGAATTGGCTTGAATGCTCGAGTGCTCGTGTGGTCACATGTGGGTGCCGTCTTGCTGTAGATCGCTACGTTGCCTAATTTATCGAGGTGTTGCTATAGATCGCTTGACAATACCGATTTATCGGATGCTTGGAGATTATCTGGATTGCCGATAATCCGGATGCCGAGTTGCGGCCCGAGGCCAAATTCGATACTCCTTATAGGATACCATCTTACTGTAGATCGTTTGATGTTGCCGTATTGGAATGTCGTCTTACTGTAGATCGTTTGACGTTGTCGTGCCCGACGGAGCGAGACGATGCTCGGTCATGCCGGAAGACTGCCATCTTGCTGCAGATTGCTTGATGTGTAGTGGCCCAGGGGGAGTCGTAATAAATGGAACACGCATGTTTGCATAGTATTTGATTATGGGGTGAAAACTGCTAGGCACGGTATGGGATATGCCCAAGTGGGTTTTACATTATAATCGAGACACGTGGGAGTGTGGATGCATGATGCATGGGAAATCTCGACAAATGTTTCAAGTATGTGTTATGCTTGTTGCATTGTTGTTACATTCGATAACCAATGTCATGCATGATGTGTGCACCAAGGTAAGGTAAGGATGATTGTGATTGCTTATCGACTTGCGATTGGCCTGTATCCGATGCGTGGTTGATTGGCTAGGAGCCCGAGGCGAGTTGGCCTCTTAAGTGGGGCTTAGGCTGTTAACTTATTTAGATTTCTATCTCATTTGTTGTTGTTAAAGGTCTTTCAGAACCTTAGTATGTTGATGCACCCGGTACAGTTTGGGGTACCTCAGGATATGGATACTGTTATTTCCACTCATGTGTTCCTCAACAAGCCGTACGTTTTTTAGCGCCACTGGATGACAGTTTGGATGGATGAGGGACTGGCTTATTGGGTCCCTCATCAGTTCCAGGCCTGGTTTGTTAACGATGGTGAGGATTTGTTTGGGCCTCTCTGGAGTTTTGACGGTCCTCCGGAAGAGGGTCCTGGGCACGAGATATGGGACCCTATGGATGTTGACCCACCTGACGGGTCAGTAGAGGATCCCGAGCTCAAGCCTGATCCCGTTCCCGAGTATCTGTCGGAGCACGATCCCGACTCGTCCTACTTCGACTCACCGACCCTCTACATGGATAACCCATGAGAGACCTTCCTAGAAGTTGACTTTTTGACTGATTTGTTGTTGCCAAAGTAGATTGACCCTCAGCCTGGTATCTTTTTGTAGGCTTGTGTGGAAATACCCGAAGTGGGCTTGTAAGAAAACGTTTCCCAGGGGTTAATCAAGTAAATAACTAAAATGGTGTTTTGGTTTGATTGGTGTGAGCTGTTTTCCTATCTATCCCTATTTATTGTTGTTGTCTAGGTGAATGTTGTTATAGCTTCCACATGCGTAATTAGAAGATAAGATGAAGGGTTGGTGACAAGTCTTGAGACGTCACATTTGTACGACCAAGGTGGGATGTTGCACTCTTGAATGGGAACAGGGCGTGACACCCTCGCCCAGATCCAGGCAAGGGTTTTGACCCTCGCCTGTTGGCCGATGAGGGCTGCGACGCCATCACCCAGACTAGGCGAGGACATTGCGGCCCTCGCCCGCCACGAGCGAGGGCCGTCATGCCCTTGTCGGCCACAGGCAAGGGCGTGAAGGCCCTTGCTCGTGGCGGGCAAGGGCGTTGCGGCCCTAGCCTAGATTTGGGCAAGGGCATTGTCCCTCCCCCGTGGCCGGCGAAGGCACGAGGCCCTCATCCAAACTAGGCAAGGGTCACTGGCCCTTGACTGTGGCTGGCGATGGTTGGTTTAGAAAAAGAAAAAAGACAAAAAAGAAAAGGGAATAAAAGGAAAAAAAATTATAAAATTTGTCCACGTCACCGCTGGTTGTTCCACGTAGGACCGCCGGCATCCACGTCAACGATTTCCTACCTAAAATGGCCGAATGGACTGAATTGGTACCAATGCAAAAATGTTTAGGACTAAATTAGTCCAATTGAAATGTTTATGACTTAATTGGTATCAATGCAAAAAGGTTTAGGACTAAATTAGTCCAATTGAAAGGTTTAGGACTTTTTTGGTACTTTTTCAGTACTTTTTCCCAGTTAAAACACCAGGTTATTTACCCAAGATTACACATAGTTACGCAAAAAAAAAAAAAGAAGATTACTAAATCATAGACCTTATGTGAATTTTTTTTTATCTGTCCTACTCTGACTCTCATCCACTCTTAGACTTTTTGCTCCGCCTCTTTGCAGAGCATGAGAGTCAAACCATACACCTGAAACTAATTGTCCTAACCCCCAGCCCCTCTGAGAAGGTGGGGACTCGAACTCCCCACCTCCCCTTTCCCAAGTGAAAATGGTGGCCATTTGGGAGACCTTATGTGAGTTTAAAAAGTATTGTTTTGCTTAATATTTGTTAGATTGGAATTCCCAAGGTTTGTGTCATTTTATAAAGTTGCTAAAACATTATAATATATAAAAGCCAACATAATAATTTACATGACTACTATACCACACTTCACGTTTAAATTTCCTCACTCGAGCCTATC